CTGAAACCCCCCCCCACCCCCCCACCCCCCCCATCCCTTCCCTCCTAGGCCCCTACCCACCTACTCCGCCCCTGACAAATCTTTAGTTTGAGGGATTCCAATCCACGCCCGCCCTGACCGCCTCCCCGCTCTCATCACTCCCCTGCCTTCCGCCCCCAACTCCACCAACCCTCGACCGTCACCTCCCCTGTCCACCCGCCGCGCTCCACCCTGCCTTCCGCCCCAACCCTCTCACCAGAGCTGGCAGGCCGCCAGCCGCCCCCACCCTCTCCCACCCCCACTCCCTAACCCTCCCACCAACCCTCCCCAGCCCTCATCATTACCCCCTCCCACCATCGTGCACCATCCGACCGCCCCCCCACTCTCACCGCTCTCATCGCTTCTTCATCTCTATGCCCCCCAGTCCACCCCTGCCTTCCGCCCCCAACTCCCTAATCCGACACCAACCCTCTACCGTCACCCACACCCCCCACCCCCGCCGCCCCCCTTTCCACCCCCACCGCCCCCGCCCCCCCCCGCCTGCCCGCGCTCCACCCTGCCTTCCGCCTCAATGCGACTGTCTTGGGTCTGGGGTCGGCGGCACTGGCGGTAGCCATTAAATCGGGCAGCGCGAGGTCCCCAAAGGACCGAGCAAATGCGGACCTTTTAGCCCGGGTCGTCCCGGGAATAGCCTTGCTGGCCTCTGGCCTTCTGCGAAGCAGAATTAGGCCGGACGCCAGTGCCGCCGACCCCCGCGTGCCGCCGGTGAACGGTTTTTTTTTCGTGGTTTTTTTGCGTCGCCACGGAGGCCCCCAGAGGGCGCGCATCATGAGCATCAGCGGGTCCAGCCCGGGACCCCCAGGCGCGCATCAGGAGCATCAGCGGCTCCCGGGGCGGGACCCCGGCGCATCAGGAGCATGATGCCCCCCAAAGGGCGGGCATAAGCGACGTGTCTAAGCCCGGGGCTAGGAAAAAGGGAGTTTAGGGGCCTTATAAAGTGCTGAGAAACGTTAAGGGAGTCTAGGAGCCTCAAACGCTTAGAGATTTGAAGGGAGTTTAGGGGCCTGAAGATGCTTAGAAACTTAGCGCTTAGAGATTTTAATGGAGTTTAGGGGCCTCAACATGCTTAGAAACTGCTCGCCCCGGGCTTCTGCGTGCGCTGCCCGCCCATGGGCGCAGCCCCTTAAATATATGTATATATAATTATGTTTGAAGCAGTGGGAACGCCCACCATCCTTCCAACACCGAAGCACCCCCTCGTGCGCTCCTCAAAGCCGCGAGGAGACATGGGGTTCAGATAAGGCTGCATCGCCCTGAGGACATGGACGCAATGCCAATGCGCGCATGTTATCTGGGGGCTTATGCGAAAAAAAGGGACCCCTAACATAGCCGAGTAGTAGGAACGCCTTGTAATAAGGACCCCAGGAAGGTACCCGTGAGATCGTAACCCCCATCCTGCATCAGCACTGTATGCCAATGTGCACGCCGCTGCTCAACGAAGGAGCGCAAGACTGGCTGGTCTCTACATCAGAGGCATCACTCCATCGCTCCTAGCTCTCTGTGTATGCTGTGATGCCGCCACTCACACAATACACAAGCAATACACGCAGCAAGCAAGCAGAACAAACACATGTACATACACTGCACGCGCAGCACTACCACAAACACTACTACCAAAACAAGCAGGAAGCAGTCTGTTACCAATGTGAAGAACACGGTTTGTTCAGCCGAGCCAGGACATGTGAACACACAATGAGATGATGCAAAACTGGAACTGTGACAAAATTGCGGCCGTTGGACAGGACAGAATGGTGCAGAACCAAAGGAGGCGAGGGATGAGCGAAGGTGAAGCCCGTAATGCTACCACACACCGGGTCAATCTTCGATTAACCGAGGGCCTCTCCCCACCTTTCCGGCCCCCTGCGTTCGATGTCACTGCAAACTGAAAGCGGGTGCGACCGCAACACCCGTGGTCTAGGGTGTCATGCGCACACGCGAGCACATCTCACCTAACCCTAAACCCTAAACCCCAAACCCCAAACCCCAAACCCCAAACCCCAAACCCTAAACCCTAAACCATATCGAAAGCCATTTTCAGTGTCCGGCATTGGCCAAGCCAGGCCAGGAGCTATCCGACCTCGGAAAAGCGAGTCATTTCGAGACAGTCCGTACATGGAGCAACTTTTGCATCAGCAATCGGCATGCTACTGCTACTGCTGCTACTGCTACTGCTGCTACTGCTACTGCTACTGCTGCTACTGCTAGTACTACTACTACTACTACTACTACTACTACTACTACTACTACTACTACTACTACTACTACTACTACTACTACTACTACTACTACTACTACTACTACTACTACTACTACTACTACTACTACTACGTGATTTTCGAAGAAACTTGGTTGACTGTAACATGAACTGCCCAGTGCAAGACTTTCCCATCCTGCTGGTATGGCAGACAATCCCAGTGTCGCGCTTGCACGCTTTGAAACTAAACCCCACACTAACCTCTCCCTCTCACGCACACACGCCAGTATCAAACAGTTCGGAGTGACAACACACTTCATTGGTAGCAGCTCTTTCACCTTGCCAGGCTTAGGCAGCAGCACTTGCTCCACCCCGGCACGCCAAGCATGCCCACGATCGATTAGCCAACATGCGCGTGGCTGATGCCCATGATGCTCGCGCTACTTCGCATTGCCCAGCTCGACACGCTGCTTCGGTCTAGGGATGGTTTCCGAAAGCCCGTGGATCAACATGCTCCGATGGACCCCGACACTCCCTGGCATGCTGAGCTTCACGGCTCATTCCGCCGTAGCCGCTGCTCTGGGCCATGGCTTCGAATCACAATCTACTAGCTCAAGGCTTCAAGAGCAAGGTGAGGGCGATAGAACCAGTGCTTCAGAGACTGATTCAAGCACCCTGCCCCTGCGGCTTATGAGTTGGGACCTGTGTGGTGATCTGCAAATTCTTGTTAGCATTGCACGGGGCAGATTGGGCTGGGATGAAGGGTTCCCAGGTCCAGTTCTGGTCAAAGACGTGGGTTGTTTTGCCACTTTGACTTGTGGCATGAGCTACTGCTGAAGCTGGGGAAACATTGAAGGTCAATCAAGTGCTCTTCCCTCATTCCTAAGACAGCCTGAGCCAGTAAGAGAATGTTTGCCACGTGGGCATGTCTCGCTTGACTCCAATGGGCCTAGATCTATACTCCCCTCAGAACCTTAATAAAAATAGTGTTGTTTAATATCCTCTTGGGTTTTGTATAAACAAAAATAAAAGAATGATTTCCAAGGGGGATATAGAGATGTTCAGCCTTGTCAAAGCGACCATCTGCCGCTTGCAACTCTGAGGGCTCAACCACAGCATCCGATCAGCACGACCCACACCTGCGCTTTTATGCGCTTCTGGGGCATGTCCACAAAACTCAGAAAACTCTCAATATGTATCTATAAGGGACAACTGAGGCCAGAGAACGCGCGAGTGAAAAAACATCATTTCGATTATCTCCACCCTGCTGAACAGCAGCTACTTCGGAAGATGGCAGCGGCAATCCGAAGCTGACATGCGTGGGAGTCTCTGCGCGGTGCTTCTCCAAACGGGCAATATCGGACAACTTCTGGCTATGTAGTATGGGCTGACATGTGGAGTCGCCACTTCTCAATGGTCTGCTCAAAGGGCAAGCTGCATCTCGCACCCGATGGGTCCTTCTTGGACAGCAGCTTGTTTGGCAGCTTCGGAGGGTCCATGGCAACTGCATTGATGGCTTGCTACAGAGTGCTTGCTGAGGGAACATTTTGAACCGGAAACCAGTGAAACCAGAATATGACTCACTTAGTCCTGGGCGGCTACCACTGCTGCAGAATGAGGTGTTGGGGCTTCTTGCGGTAATTGTTCAGGAACTTCTTTCTCATGAGTACATGTCGAATCTTAGACAAAACTGCTGCCTCGCTGGCTACTTGTGCTTTTGTCGGTGCTCTCGGAAAAAAAAGGCTTGCAGCAGCAAAATGGTTTAGGGTTTAGGGTTTAGGGTTGCTGGATTTGTGGGCAGGTGCTACCCAGCCTGGAAGGAGAGATGCCTCTATCTCGGGCGCGAGAATTCAGAAATCTGATTTCATAGTCCGTAGAGCAAACCTAGTTGTCCAGTAACCTGGGGGAATTAAAGGTTAACCTTTGGGATGTTAAGGGACTGTACTACCCAAAAAGGTTAAAGGTTACCTACTCTACTACTAGGCAAAACTTGAGATCGGGGCCACGAAAGCTAGAAACGCGGCTGACAAGCAAGCTTCTTTCGAGTCAGGCGCAGGGCCTGACCAAGACGGAGGGGGAAGCCTGAAAAGGGAGGGGGGGGCCAAAAGGGGGGGGGGGGGGGGGGGCCCCCCCCCCCCTCCCCAGAAATCAATTCAGGCGACCCTGAAAGGAGGGGGGGGGGGGACACCTTAAGATTGATTTTGTCAATCCTATAAGGGGGGGGAGGGGGGGGGGCCCCCCCCTCCACAGCCCTTTATCTCTCTGATTTTCAGACCACTTAAGGGTCGGAGTCGCTTTTTGACCCAGCTGAACACTAGAGAGAATTCTTGTAAACGACAACTCTCGCGAGCTCCAAGGAGCTAGCTTTCGTGACTTAGCCGTCATTGAAGTGTGACTGCAAAGACACGGACCCTTGCACTGACTCAACTCGACAGATCCCGGGAGCTAGGCCAGGAGTTCGCAAGCCCACACGCCAATCAGAAATAATGAGCCGCGAGCCCAAAGCCTCATTAATCGCGATAGCATATCCCCCCTCCACATCCGCCGACAACTTTAACAAGCGCATGATGGAGAATGGGAAAATGGGAGAAGTGTAGTAAAGCGCGCATGATCTTTCCACATCCTCTCTACAGGCAGAAACCAAGTGATTCAGGCAGAGTAACCGAAAAAACTTAAAAGTTTGACTGCACCCAACCTCTCTCTGCTTTTGAGCTCTCAAAGAGATGCACTTAAGGCTGGCCGCAGAACGGGCCGTGGGCGTGCCTGGCTTCGGAGATGGCATGAAAGATCTTCAGGGGTTCGAGGACGCGGGGCTCTGGCCGTTCGAGCGTTGGCATGACATTGCCAAGTGTCTAGAACTTCTCAAGGCCCTGCGAATGAGTTTTTTCGGGCCAGGGAGTTTCGGGCTTTTCGGAAGAACCCTAGGCCAGTGGAGTCGCTCCTCCAAATCCGAAAGCTGTATTGGAATTTGAGGCCCGCAGGGGGCGACTAGCACCACGGCCTCCACTTGCCAATCGAAAACGCCAGGACCCGCCTCAGGGATCTTAAGGGGCAATGCAGACCCTGCGAGTGCTTTGGGGTTTCGGGTTGGTCCGAGTCGATCCTCATCCTTATCTGTTCAACCTTCTCTTGAGAGGCACAGAGCCGTCTCGAGCAGCTTGGTGACATGGGAGTTTTTGACAAAAACATTGCTCGAGAGATGTTTTCTTACTTGCATTGGGTTCTCAATCTTCTCATAGGGAACGAAACTATTCTGTAGATATGGCGGGGGGAGGGGGGGGGGTGTGAATGTTGAGGAATGCCCACATGTTCGGACAGCCCTAACCCTTAGTTCGGGTGTGCTGTTTAAAGATTCTGCGTCTGGGGCACACATACACATACACACACACACACACACCCACACACACACCCACACCCTGCCCCCCTACTCAGAAACTCTGAAACAGCCAGTCCGAAGCTAGTCAAAGCGCACAACGTATACTGCCGAGTGCGAAGCTTGTCAAAGTGCACGAAACATCCTTAAAACCGAGTCCGAAGCTTGTAACCCCGCACGAAGCTTCATACATACCGAGAAAGCACATATCCACAAACTCATTGATTTCAGGACGAAAAAGAGTGTGGACACGCATGTATCTACATACGTATATACATATATATATATATAGATGTATCTCCGAAAAGGACACCCGATCTATAAACTCACCACTTCGGAAGCATATATACGCTCACCAGAAGCCAGAACCAGAAAAACAAAAACACAAAAACTTGGTACCAGTAGAGCTTCGCAAACTCTGCGCGGCACCGTCTGAAGGCGCAAACCGCCCGCAAATGGACCAAACCCCAGCCAAACCGGATGCCAAACCCCATCATCACCAGCGCGCCTGACACAGCTCGCACCAGGAAAGGTCGAAGCGGTGGAGCCAAGAACTGAGCACCGCAGCTCGGGAGCTTTGAGGAGCTAAGGAGCTTCGAAACAGGGCCCAAGACTTTGGCAAAGTATCCAAGCCCCAGACAAGCTCCAAGAAATTTTTTGGGAACTTGAGCGCCTGATTTGCGCCGTTCAAGTTTGCTGTTGGTAGGCGCGCCGGCGCCTTGTGGCCCGTGGGGCTGAAAAAGGCATGTCTTATTTTGGGTCCGTGATTTTGTGAGTGCGGCTGGCTGGGATGGCGGGTGCACCAGACCTGTATGGACATTGTGCGACATGGTCCGCGTGACAGGATTCGCGACCAAATACGCAACTTTCGCCTCCTCCTCCTCCTTCTCCTGCTCCCATACATGAACTCTAAATATTCTAAATGGAATGGCTATTGAGGTTCTGAAAGTGCGCCCCGCAATGAGTCAATGAGTCCACTATCTGCTGAGAAGTACCTTCTGCTATGGCCATATTTCTTGGTTTGATGTTGCCATCCTGGCTGTGCTCAACGACGATCATAGATTCACATCCCTTGTCGCTTCCAAGCATGTTTCTTCAGCACAGCCGGAAAAAGTGCTGGAAAACTGTCGGAAATTGTGGGAAGCAAGGAAAGTTGGCAAAAAAGCAGGAAAAGCCACGAAAAAGCTGGTGCTTTTTGGGTTGAGGGTTTAGGCTCAGATGTTAGGGTTGGTTGAGATTTGAGGCCTTCCAGTTGAGGGTTTGATTGGGTTGAGTAGGTTTGAGGGATTGGGTTGAGGCGTTAGAGAGTTTTAGGTACAGAGTTCAAGGTTAAGTGTTTCGGCTCTTCGAGATTCTGAGGGAGGATTTCTGTGGATTTTTCTTGGAATAAGCTGGACCACAGGGCATTCAAAGGAAACCCCGGGCAAGTCATGATGTCCTATTTAATAAATAGGGGGAGGGGGGGGGAGGGGGGAAGGGGGGATTGGCAGGGGGGACTAAAACGCCAGTTTTTAAAGCTGCCTGTTTGTCCTTCATCTGAACGTGGAATCCAACACCAGGGGAAGTCCCTAACCGTCTCTGCCACAGTGTCAAGGGATGGTCGGCAGCCCCTGATGACGAACCCGGGCCCCAAGTCCGGCAAAAGACAACATCAGGCAACTCTCGAGCCAAGCTGGCATTGCTTCTCCGCGGCTCCAGACATGCCAGTTCTGGCCACCGAAGCCGACCCGCGACCGACCCGGCTGGCGGATAAGATTACGGGGTGCACAGGACTGATCGGTCATTACCTGCTGTGAACCTGCAGGCAAAGACAAGTGCACACGGAACAGAGTCTGCACTTTGACTGTGACTGTAGAGCGAGGCATCGGTGCTACTGAGTTAAATACAAAAACCCTACAAACCTTGAATTGTCCAGCTGCAGGGACAAGAGATGGGCTTTTGAATGTGTCGAAGAGATGACTTAGTTTGTTTCGATGGAACAAGTTGAAGTCTGGCCTTGGGTCTTAGTTAGGGTCCATGGAAGTGGGTGTTGTGCGACCCCTTGCTTTGGAATCTTGTCGACGACTGGGAGCTTGATGATACTGCAAAGGGACCCATGAATCTCGTGGTGCCCCAATATCTGCAGCATGTTGCACATTCAGGAAGCACAGTGCACACTACAACTCTGCAAAGTCCAGTTGCTTCCCGGAGGATGGTGCAGTCCGGAGACTTTGAAAAGACCAATCGGCTTAGGACAGTCGAATCTGCCTGTCTCCTGCTCAAAGTTCTGCTGCTTGAGGTCCCGACTCAATTGATGCCTGTGCACATGAAGCTCCATGATGTTGTACTGCATGGTACGAAACATGTTGAGCTAACTGTGACATGCGTAGCACCCCATGACTAGACATGATGGTCCGTCTTCCGGCTGCCCGTTCCTCATGCGACAGCCGGCCCCGAACGGCCGACGTAAAAGGTCAATGATGTAAAATGATAAGAAGTAAGAAGTATGTAGGATCCCTGTGCAGGATGAGAATCCCTTAAAAGGCCCTTTACAGGGTTCATTATGGGGATTTGAAGGCCTAATACCCCATCCTGGTTGTTATACGTAGGATCCCAGTTCTGCCTGCGGCGCGCCACTGCGCAGCTGCAGCTGCAACTCCTCACAGAAGCGGGCTTTGGGTTGAAGCCGAGGGTCTCGGGCGCTTCAATCCTAAGCACGGATGCTTTAGGGTTTAGGGTTTAGGGTTTGGGGTTTAGGGTTTGGGGTTTAGGGTCTGCAGGCTGTGCCGGCTGTTTTGGGAGGCTCGAACCTGTTGAGTTTCGGACATGAGAGGTTGGGTGTTCTGTGTTCTATAGTATGGGTGCTTCGCAAAGAAGCTCTGTATGGCATGAGCAAATTCTGCATTTGAAGGCGACACTTGTGAGTTCATTCCGCTTTCGTCTCGTCTCTGGCCGCGGTGCGTCCGACAGCCCCCACCCTTCCGACCCCCTCCGCCCGCAAGTCAAACTTGGTTGAAGAAGGATTTTCCAGAAGGATTCTCTAGAACTCTAGAAACCAGCTACGCGCTTGAAATTTCTACATGCATGTATGGGTATGGACCGACCCTGAAACCCTAAACCCTTAAACCCCTCCGGGCCGGGCCAAGGCGGGCGACCCGCAGTGGTTAAAATCATCTGCATCGCCTCTGCAGAGGCCGTGCAACAAACAGGCGAAAGCTTGTCGAACATACTTGGGTTTAGGGTTTAGGGTCAGGGGTTTCGGGTTTCGGGTTTCGGGTTCGGCTGCGCTACCGCATCACGTACGAGTCGAGCGCGCATCAGCTTGCGACTTGTCCAGGCGACCTGAAATTGAAGAATGGACAGGGCCCGGAACTGCAGCGGCAGGACCTGAATGCGAGGATGATTTTCATCTCTTCGCAACGAAGATCCAGATTACCACCGGGCATACAATGGCACAGAACATGTACATATAATGGAACACATTGTTTGCATATGTACGAAAATACACATACCATCTGCACAATAAATGAATTCGTGCTTCTTCTGCGTGCTTCCTCTGCGTGCTTCGTCTGCGTGCTTCGTCTGCGTGCGTGCGTGCGTGGGTGCGTGGGTGGGTGGGGATGTGGATGTGGATGTGGATGCGGATGCGGATGTGGATGTGGATATGGATGTGCGTGCGTGCGTGGATGTGCGTGCGTGCGTGGATGTGCCTTCGTGCGTGCGTGCGTGCCTTCGTGCGTGCGTGCGTGCGTGCGTGCGTCGGTGCGTGGGTGGGTGGGTGGGTGGGTGTGTGTGTGTGTGTGTCTCTGTGTGTGTCTCTGTGTGTCTCTGTGTGTCTCTGTGTCTGTGTGTCTCTGTGTCTGTGTGTCTCTGTGTGTCTCTGTGTGTCTCTGTGTGTCTCTGTGTGTCTCTGTGTGTGTGTGTGTCTCTGTGTGTGTCTCTGTGTGTGTGTGTGTGTGTGTGTGTGTGTGTGTGTGTGTGTGTGTGTGTGTTGGTGTGTCTGTGTCTGTGACTGCGTCTGCGTCTGTGTCTGTGACTGCGTCTGCGTCTGTGTCTGTGTCTTTGTCTTTGTCTGTGTCTCTGTGTGTGTCTGTGTCTGTGTCTCTGTGTGGGTGTGTGTGTGTGTCTCTGTGTGTGTCTGTGTGTGTCTCTGTGTGTGTGTGTCTCTGTGTGTGTGTGTGTCTCTGTGTGTGTGTGTGTGTCTCTGTGTGTGTGTGTGTGTGTGTGTCTCTGTGTGTGTGTGTGTCTCTGTGTGTGTGTGTGTCTGTGTCTGTGTGTGTGTGTGTGTCTGTCCCACCCTGTAGCCAAGGGTTTCAACCGTCGACCTCATTTCTTTTGTGCAGGGGGGCAGAGGGGGTGTGGGGGTGGCTCTGCCCATCGAAGTTCCGCCCCACACCCCAGGTAAACGTACCTGCATTGGTCTGTGCCTGGACTCTGTATAGAGTAGCTGGCAGGGCCCTCACCTTCATTGTTCATGTCCACTTCATTTCGCGTTGTACCATTCCTCTGAGTCTGGTACAGCGAGGCAGGACCCTACCTCATGTTTGCATCATCTCATCAAGGTTGCACATGCCATTCCTTGTGTCTGGCCTGTCTGGTACAAAATCGTCATTTCACCTTCATGCCCCAAGACACCCAGGAGATTGCAATGTCAACACCAGTTTGAAACATCAGAGGTATTCAGGAGCATGATGTACTTCAGTGACAGCAGGCTTAGCCTGTCTAAGCTGATGTGGCTCGCAGATCGGAGGTACCAGTATTGGCTGTCAGGAAGGTTGCTTGAGTGTGTGTGTGTGTGTGTCCAACCCTGTAGCCAAGGGTTTCAACCGTCGACCTCATTTCTTTTGTGCAGGGGGGCAGAGGGGGTGTGGGGGTGGCTCTGCCCATCGAAGCTCCGCCCCACACCCCAGGTAAA